AAAACACTGGAGGGTCCATTGGACAAAAAAAAAAAAAAAAATTCTTACCATTACTAGTTGTCATCAAGCAGATTCCAACTTTTGGTGACCCCATGTGTTAGGATGTTACTGTACTCCATAGTCCTCAGTGGCTTGTTTTTCAGAAGCAGATCACCAGGTCTTTCTTTCAAGGTACCTCTGGTGGACTCAAACCCCCAGCCTCTCAGTTTGCAGCCAAGTGTGTTAACTATGTGCACCACTTACGGACTCCACTTATAACCATAGCCCATTTTTATTCTGAATATAAAAAGCCAAACCCATTGCCATGGAGTTGACTCTGACCCATGGCAAACCCACATGTAGCAGAGTGGAACCACTCCATGAGTTCTCTTGGCTTTGCAGAAAACAGATTACCAGAACTTTCTTCCTCAATTCTGTTGGATGAGTTTGAACCACCAACCTTTAGATTAATAGTTGAGTGCAAATTCTTTGCTCCATCTGTTGTTGTTGTTGTTGTTATGTGCCATCGAGTCTCCATCTAGGGACCTCATTTTGAATATAGATTTTTTAAAAAATTAGATTGACATTTATCTTTTAAGCCTTCGCTTTCTCTTATCTATTTGCAGTTTGATAGCCATTTGCTGTGACTTAAGTGGAATTAAGTAATCTCAGATTCAAAGGGGTTGCTAAAAGGTTTTGGATTTTATTTGGTTTGTAATGGTTCCATAAGGCTAATCTGTGTTCTTCCTTCCAAGGTGGATCGGATGTCTTTCCCATGTGGCTGCACTAAGGAAGGATGTAGTAACACAGCAGGTAGAATTGAATTTAATCCTATCCGTGTCCGGACTCACTTTTTGCACACAATAATGAAACTTGAACTGGAGAAAAACCAAGAGCAGCAGATCCCCATGCTGAATGGCTGCCACGGTGAGATAAGTGCTCACAGTAGTGCCATGGGCCCTGTTGCTCACTCCGTAGAATATTCTATTGCAGATAATTTTGAGATTGAAACTGAACCCCAGGCTGCCGTGCTGCACCTGCAGTCAGCTGAGGAATTAGATTGCCAAGTAGAGGAAGAAGAGGAGGAGGAGGATGGGAGCAGCTTCTGCAGTGGAGTCACCGATTCTAGCACACAAAGCTTGGCACCTAGTGAATCAGATGAGGAGGAGGAAGAGGAAGAGGAGGAGGAAGAAGAGGAGGAAGAGGACGATGATGAGAAAGGAGACAGCTTTGTGGAAGGTTTGGGCACCCATGCTGAAGTCGTCCCTCTTCCTTCAGTCCTTTGTTATTCTGATGGCACTGCCGTTCATGAAAGCCACACGAAAAATGCTTCTTTTTATGCCAACTCTTCAACTCTGTATTACCAAATAGATAGCCACATTCCAGGAACACCGAACCAGATCTCAGAGAACTATTCTGAAAGAGATACTGTCAAAAACGGTACCCTCTCGCTGGTGCCTTACACCATGACCCCAGAGCAATTCGTTGACTATGCCCGACAAGCAGAAGAGGTCTACAGCACCTCCCACTACCCAGCCACCAATCCTTCTGTAATCGTTTGCTGCTCCTCTTCAGAAAATGATAGCAGTGTGCCCTGCAATAGCTTATATCCCGAACACAGGTCCAATCATCCTCAAGTGGAATTTCACTCATACTTGAAAGGCCCCTCCCAGGAAGGGTTTGTCTCTACATTGAATGGTGACAGTCACATTTCAGAGCATCCTGCTGAAAATTCATTGAGCCTTGCAGAAAAGAGCAGATTGCACGAAGAGTGCATCAAATCACCTGTGGTTGAGACTGTCCCTGTTTAGTAGCTTAAGTTATTCTAGGACCAACTTCCCCCTATTTAAGCCACTGTATTTAATTGAATTCCCTGGGCTCATTGTTCTTTAAACTGTGGACCAAGAAAACTTGGACTGTGGTTAATGTTCCAGACTGCATTTCATTTTTGTCCTTTCTAGCTACATGACTGTGGCATTGCACAAATACAGTCTCTATAAGGATTTTAAAAGATTTCAAACTGTTTTGATAGAAAATGCTAATTTTAAAAATGCATATCTCACAGTTGCCTACCTGTCAAACTGTGTGAAACCTGCCAAGCTGTGTAGATCAGAGCTCCAAGTTTTGCATTATCGGGCCTGTGCAAGATTGTTAACTAAGACTGGGAGATAATAAGATTTAGAGTCCTAATTTTCGATATATCTGAAGATTATGGTGACTTTTTAATGTAAAAGTAATTATTGTAAGAAAAGATTTAATTGTTCCATGTGTATTTTATTTATGGTAGTTTAGAAGTCACGTTTGGATGAAAATGAACAGCAGCATGTTCATTTAAGCTGAATACATGTAGTGCTACAGAGCATGCCCCCATGGATTGCATTAGGAATCCATTCACATTTTTATGATCATGACTGATCAGATTTGCAAATACTTTCTTAAAGGTGAAATAGGCCTATTTTTGCTATTTTGGACAAATAAATGAGTCTATATGTACAGGTCCTTACACATTTTCTCTAAAGTTCAGAGATAGGACAATCCTCCCACGAGGGTCTAGTTCAATGCCCTCCCTCAGTTGACTCCAGAGATGGAGGTGAAGGAACTGCCTTTCTTTTTTAAACAGCATCATCTTGGTTCTTAGCTTGGACAGCACCTTCAAACTCTAACCCCCTACATCAAGATGCACTTTAGTGCCCCTTCATGGTACCTCGTGAGGGGTGGGGACTGAGAACTTTTTGAGATGAAAAATTAAAAATTAAAAAAAATAGATCTGTAACTATTATAAGGTTCATATAATTAATATAGAGGAATCGTTCAGTGATACTTTGTGAAGAAAAAAAAATGACATGTTTTCCTTTGCCACTCTGAAGACCTAACTCAGTGAAAGCAGAGGAGGCTGAGGAAACAAGGAAAAGACACACCTCAGCAACCAGCCTTTTCTACAGCGTGATCAATCCATCTCTACAAAATAAGTGTGTAATGAGATTTCCATTTAGTGACTAGCCGATTGAAGGGGAGCCTCTACCCAAATACTCAACTAGGCCTTACTTTTCTGAAGCATTTTGATTTCTTTTGCCTGGGACAATTAGCAGAACAGTCTAGAATGCATTGAATATTTTTGAATTACCTCACGTTCTCTTATTAAAGGGGACAGATAAAAATAAAACATGCACTCCCCACCTTTATTATCTGCACTTGGTTTACCGGAGGACTTCTAGGATTCCATTTTTCTGTAAACTAATTTAGGTAACTAAATAGTGTACTCTACCTTTTTTTTCAATGCAGTAACTATGCTAAATCTGTTTTGCATTTTTGACCTTCTATTGTTATCTCATATCAATGTTTTATGACTGTTTGATTGTGGACATGCCTTGCTATTCAGTGACTGCATCACTACTTGTTTTTTTTATGTCTTGTAGATTTGGATATTTAGAAATATGGATAGAAATATACTGTAGATCTAAATTCCTTTTAAAAGAAATAATACCTTTCTATTTAATTAGACCTAAAAATGTTTAATCTAAAGAAAGTCCTCCAAAGGAAAAGTTTCTACTAAAATTTGATTTGGGGAAAACATGTTTACTTGGCAGCTCTTCCACTGTGTAGTTGGTTCCTGCCTCTTCTCTATCATACTACTGGGCCAAATTTATAACAATTGCTATGAACATTAGAGAAGGTTTTGGTTTGTCCTTATGTAGGAAGCACTAACAAGGGCAGGGACTGTTCTTTTTGAATGATTAGCCCAAAGGGTTAATCAGACTGTGGTTTTGCTCAAATCTTTGTAGTTTATACTGTGTTATCTACACTTTATAGTTTTAGTGCCTGATCTCTAATTTTTATTTCCATATGGATACAATCTAAAGACCATAGGCCCAAAGAGAAAATGACAAGAGGCTATTATTATTCCTTCATTCAAGCACATTAAAAAGAATCATGTATACCATATTTGCTGGACCATCACAAGCCTTTGAAGTATCTATGTGTGAAGCACTCTGAGGTCTTTCCTGGAAGACACATTGTAGGGGTGTGGGGAAAGACAATTCAGCCTGGGGCAGAGTTGAGGGGTAGAATGACAGTTCAGTCTCTGAAACATTAGATATTTGGTTTAGTTCAGCTTTATTTTCAGCCTTCTTTATATTTGAGAAGCCCTGGTGGCACAGTGGTTAAAGCACTTGGCTGCTAACTGAAAGCAACCACTCTGCAGGAGAAAGAAGTGGCAGTCTGCTTCCATATAGATTTACAGCCTTGGAAACACTAAGGGGCACTTTTACTCTATCTTCAAAGGTCACTATGAATTGGAATTGACTCAGTGCCAATGGGTTTGGTTTTTGGTGGCATAGTGCCTGAGGCATTTGACTGCTAACCAGAAGGCTGGCAGTTCAAACCCACCAACCACTCCTCGGAAGGAAGGTTGGACAATCTACTTCTGCAGTGATACCGCCTCGGAAACCCAAGGAAGGGTTGCTATGAGTTGGATCCGCCTCGATGGCAGTGAGTTTGGTTTCTTTGGTTTTATATTTGCTTTGTTTCCAAAAAAGATCCTTGACATAACAGCAGGCAAACAAAAACTCAGATCTTCTTCCCTTACCTTTCCAGTCAGGGTAGAAAGTCACTGCACTGCTGAGAATCGTTAACCTTCCAACCACAACAGCTACTGTTCCAAATTTTCATACACTTAACCTTAACCCTTATGGTCTCCCACAGACTACATACGCAGCCTGCCTATTAAAACACCCACCCACACACACACACACACACACACACGGAAATTCATACAGGCATGCCACACTCTGAAGAATAACAGATTTGAAGCAATGGCCAGTAATGATTAGAATAGGATTTTTCTTATTCTAGAATCCATTTGGGTTTTGTGATCTGAAAATGTGGTTCTAAGAAATAGAATAATCTTCAAAACTATAGCTTGAAAATATTGGGCCGAAGTTGCAAATAATACTAATGGTGGAATCTTTTCATTGTTACTTTCTTTCCCAGAAAAGCTGAGAGAGGGCAGTGTTCCATCTGACTATTTTTTTCCATTAATAGCCTTTCTATTCATCAAAAACTGCCCACATGCCAGGAAAGTGCTACAGTTATTCTCAGCGTTTTAGAAGGAAGATCAAGCGAGATGCAGACAGTTGGGATACTTAAGATCTTTATATCAAGACAATAACCTGACCTGCAGCTGTTGTATTGCTCCCATAGTATATCCAGCCAAATTATAGTCTCTTTTGACGCACAGCTTTTAGTCATTCATTGTCAATTGCAAAGCTTCTTGCTCCAGTCCCTGTTGTTTTAGCACCAGCCCTATACCTTTTAATGGGGCTTAATTCCCAGTTATAATCCAGGCCAAATTGATTTGCAAGTCAAGTGGCTGGAGCAGCTTGCATCTCCTTTGTCATTTTCAGTTCCCTTTGGGAGAAAGAAGTCAATGAAAGAGATTTACTTAAATCTGTCCCCCCATCTCTTGATCAATGATTATTAAGATGTACGTAAAATCCATTTGTCTTATGTCTAATAGTTAACTGAATGATATTGTCACTTTTGGAAAGCCAGTCATTTCTTTGTGGTGTGCCAGCCACATACAAAATGCAAAATTAATATTTATATTTCTTTGCAAGATAGTATCTTCACAACCATGTTTAGCCCAGCAACAATCCCCTCACTGTAAAAAATAATTAACTGTTACAGAAATACTGGCCACGTATTAATCAAGAAGCAAAGGCATTGTGTTAAGTGATTATGTTCTTTAAAATTTTATACTCAGTAACAGATCACTTCGGGCTAAAATTCTGGTTTGATTTATCATTAAACAGGAAAATACATCATAATTTATTTCCTATAAGTTGATATATTATTGTTAAAGTTCTGATATTCTTGTATAAGTTTGTAATGCTTTGTCTTGGTATTCAGAATTTATTAAGTATCAATTCTTTCAACAAATATTTAGTGAACACCTGCTGTGTTAAAAGAACTGTCTTAGATGGTCAAAAGAGGAGGGATTCTAAGAGATGATGATGATGATGATGATAGTGAAGGCTGGCATACAATAACCAAGCAAGCCTTATTCAAATCCTTTGCATATATGATTTTATAAAGTGAAATTAGAAAAACTGATGTCAGTTCTTCTCTGATTATATATATGCAAGCTAAAACTAAAAGGAGGTTTCTTTTTCCTAAATTGATAGAACTCACTAGATCCTCCTTCATCCTCTCCCCCTAGCTGATATTTATTAATGAAATCAAGACTTGACTAGAATGACTGGGTCAAATGAAAAAGGGATTTTCACCTAATTGCCTCTTCAGTGTTAGACCTACATAGGTGAAGCTAAATTTATACCAGCAAACTCCTAGCAGACACTTTTCAAATAGATTTGACTCATGCACAACTCAGGAAACATTTCAGGAAACCTTTGAACCAACAGTAGGGAATACAATCACTCTCACTTCTATTTATAAAATACCTATCAAAAAACAAAACTCTTGTTCCAAGTTCCAAAGGCATAACCTTGCAGCAGGTAGGAAACAAAGAAGTCATTCTACACCCTCACTTTTGACTGGAGTTACAAACCATTGAATTAGCAAGTAGAGAACTGACATTCTCAGAGGTCAATAGCAGACTTCCTTTATAGAAGTTTCCAAGAAACCCTTCATTTCTCAAAAAATAATGTTTCTCTTTAAAATAGTGTCTGCTCCTTTTTCTCTTGCAGAGGTTGCAGTCATAGTTTACTGTGTCATTGTTAGAGTCAGTGTATAAAATCCTAACTTTAAATGAAAAGCACCTTTGTGCTTCCCAAGACAAGACTTGTCTGTAAATTGAAATTGGGGTTGTCTGCTGTATCCTTACAACCAACACTGAAAGCTTAAAGCCTTGGTCACTATTAAGTTCTAATACAAATTTGTAATTTCTGATTGTATTGCTTTTTTCTGAGATCTGCTACTTGTGCTAGAGTAACTTAAATGCCTAAACCAAAATGCCACAGCTTTGCACAAATAGCACAGCCCATCGGATGTTTTCTGTTGCATTAAAGAACTTAATTGGCTTAATTTAACTCAATATCAGCAATTTGGAAACTCACTGGAGTTATGGATGTGGGAGGGTGGGGGTGAAGAGGGAGTGTAGATTGAATCAGTAGTGGCTCCTAGGAGCCATTAAAGGGTTCAGCAGAGCCTGGACTAGGTCCTATACTAGAAGACTAGAATCACAAACAGGGCACAACCTGGAACTGGCAGTTAAATGTGGACACTCTAATGGCCCAATTGGTGCTCACATCTGCTGCCCAAATTCATGTCAACTATATATGTCATGTCAACAATTTTGCCCTCTATAAATCATTTGATTCTTTAAAAAATAACAACACAACTACAACATGCTAACGGAACTTTTTTAAGAAATTTTAAACACATTTTATATTAAAATGATAAATGACTAGCATTCTTGTCAAAAGTAAAGGATATGGAAATAAAAGAGCTCTTCTTTAATATTTTACCTGCCACATGTGTAAATTCAACATGACTCTTTAAAACAGTAACTTCTCAGTTTTGCATTGACTCCTCTCATGGTATTTCAAGTTAGCTTTGTGTAGTGTTCATTAGACCATGAGACACCCTTCCTGACCAATGCAGGCATTTTGTTGTTTTCCTTATCAGAAATTCAAACTCAAAAGCTTGATATCAAGTCATATTTTTATGACTTGATAAAGATTTGACTGACATTAGTCTAAGTTGGTGCTAGCTGGATAGTGAATAGC